AAAGTAAAAAAGTAAATGTATCCCTGTAACAGGCCGTGGAGACCCATAGGGATGTGAGAATTCGAGACTCTTACGTCTTCTAGAGGTCGGCTCACAGATGGCAGTGAAGTCAGCCTTATGCGCAGGCCGCCCTTTACCCCTAACAATATTCCTGGTACTCATTTCTGTTAGAGACTGGGTCGACTCCAGGGCCATAGTACGGCTGGAAGTGTTAAATAAATTGATAAAAATTACCTCATCTGGATTCGATCTCGCGACCTTCAGGCTTGTATCATAGTGCCTCAACCAACTACGCTACCGCATGCCCCTCCCGAACAACACATACCATGACATTCTCGGAAATGTCCCTCGGGTTTCGCAGAAGAATGGGAATTTATTGACCAGATGAGCGACTATTAGGTTTTCAATGAGTACACTGCTCCATGAGATTAATAAGTTAGTTGATTAGTTGTTCAGTTTGCACAGCCACGCATTCACTCACACCGCCAGTCAGTCAGCCAGTTAGTTAGTTAGTTAGTTTGTTATTTATTTAGTACATCATCATCCTTCAGAGCTTACTTTTTCCACCTTAACTGCATGTAGGATGGATAACGCTTCATGGCAACGCAATTTAATAAATTCTAAAACAAAAAATTCTCTCTCTTTAAAATTTGGACGTAGAAAAAGTACATATAGGGTTCTCATTAAATAGGTTCCCATAAATTTATAACGACAGAAACTCTTTCCTATATACAGCAGCAGCTGCTCCTGTCTCTAAGTAGATCGTGCCTATCACAGTGGCCGCGCGGCCAAAAGTATGAACTGCCTTCGCTCACTCGAACGTTTGAATCGTGAGTTCGATTCCCGCTCAAGACATGGATGTTTGCGTTTATTCTGTTTTTGTGCTGTTCTTCTGTAGGTAGCGGCCTTGCGACGGGCTGATCACCCATCCAAAGTGTCCTACCGACTGCGTATATGATTAAGAAACTGAGAAAGCAGCTGAGGTCCTACAAAAAAAAAAAGACCATAGAGCCATCGATAGATCAATCTCGAACGGTTTGAACGTGGTAATAACCATTCCGGTCTCATAAAATGCGAAGAATTTCTTGATCAGCTTTACAAGGAAATTTCTGCTCCACTGAGTTAGAGGATTATTTATTTATTGATAATTTTATAGAACCGATCCTGACTTACTTGAACGTACTATCCTAACATCTAGCTGAAGAAATGAGGAACTCGTCACAATTCCCTTCCAGATAACCGAGATTCGAAACAGATACCATCCGAATAGAAGTGAGACCTGTTACCATTGCGCCAAACCTCTCGCTGATACATAGTTTCTGTCTACCGCAGAGGGAGGGGCGGGGGGGGGTGCAACGTGACTACCCACCTGTAGGGCTACAGCAAGTTTTGTAACCCAGAACACAGCAAAATGATTTGATCCACGCCGTAATTTTTTTTTAATGAAAACGAACTAATTGAATTTCCTGCCAATCTCCTGTCGATATAATTCTAAAGCTTACGTGGAGAACGCACAAATAGTGCACGTAATTAGGCATGAGAAGTTCAGCCAAATTTTCAATATGTGTAACAATTATCTGCCTTTTAGCAGAACGGTAACATCAGCATTTTCTGTGCTACGATTAAACACACACAGGATTAAACTCGGTAATTACATAAAAATTTAATCTATCTCTTTGAAGCATGAAGTTAATCTAAATAATATTTAAGCATTCAGTTCATACAACAGAGAAGACGTACTTTTGTTCCATTTCGAAGACCAGTCGGCTGATGTGTGCAGGGAAATAATAACTGCTTACGTAGAGAATCACAGAAGAAAACATGTAAGTTCACAGTGAGAAAAGTGCAGAGTTTTCGATGTGAAATAAAACTGATGAAAAGACTGCAGTTAGTTGCCTCTGGGCTTTGAAATGTAACAACCTAAGAAATTTTCATTCCTTTCCTACGGACCCTTATTTACTGTAGATTTAAAATACTTTTTTTTTTGTTCAGTCACCACTAAAACGCTAATTCGAAACAGTTAAGGGTTTGTTCTAACGCACCCCTAATGGGTGCAATGCCACCGATGCGTGAATCTGAGATTGCTCCAGGCAAATTGGATTAATAAAACAACCACGACAAGTTATTTATGATTGTACACATTAACGGTTGGGAAGTAGGGGGGAGGCTTCATTTGTGTACACATTCGCTTGGATTCTGGGATGGGGGAGTTAACAAAACTGTATTCAATCAAGCCCAGTAAGTATGCAGTGCAGGGTACATATTTGTACTTCGATCCTGTGCAGAAGCCACGTTAACTTGCACCTTACCCATTCGGTACAGTTGTCCGGCAAATATTCTTATCTCGTGGGAAAAACGGACACCGATTGTTAAATTAGTTGCATAAATGTCGCTGAAATTTCAATGGGGAATTTTGGTATTTATTCAAATTTTCGTTGAATTGCTTGCATTTTTTTTATAATAAAATATAAACTAAATGGTATTTTGATACATTCTGCACATAATTGTAGTTATTACTGCAATGACTTCTTGGAAAGACAATAGAATAAAAATAGTCAGCCATTTTCATTAACATTTAATGACTCTGTTTCAACTGGAGGGTTTAAATACAGTTGAATATTATTTGAGAATAAATGAAAATATTTCATTTTCATTTCCTCTCTCCGTGAGCTTTCATAAAGTAAACTGGGTTGAAATAATAAGATTTCTTTCGAGTGTGAACTTCTGTGTTGTAACACAATTGAGTCTAATAGGTGATTACCAATTTATGGTTTTTCTGCTCTGAAGATGGAGGCAGCATATTATTTCGAAATATTGGTGACTACCTGAAAGATTATCCGGGGCCATAACCCAGAAAATCTCCATAAAATTTCTCACCATTGCGAAAATCTTTAATAATAAAGAACTGCTTATCTATCATGACAAGTGATTTTAGTAAAAAAAAAAAAAAACAGGAAGAACTCCGTGGTTTCGGTCCGCAAGCGAATTATACCGACCGAGCGACCGCCGCGTGTCCGCGAAGTTTAGTGCCAACTTTTTGCGGATAGAGGATGTTGCGTGGTCAGCGCAGCTAATCCCCACGGCCGTTAATTTCGGTTTTCTAGACCGGAGCCGCTATTTCTTTAAAATAGCTCCTCAATTATCATCACGAGGCTCAGTGGACCCCTTCCAGACCCATTACTTATCAGAAAAAATCTGGTAGCGCCAAGAATCGAACCCGGACCTCTGGATCTGTAGCCAGGATCTCTGACCACTAGACCACAGAGGAGGTCCACACACCATCCTAAGCTTTTAAAGTATCCTTCGTGCTCATATTCCAGAAGTTACCATCATCCTTAACGACATCTATTAACGGGTTCCGTAGTTAAACTACGCAGAGAGGAGAGTGTAACAGAATTTTGTTTGAGGACTGCTTTATCGTAGTTTGGCCGCATATCAGACTCCTACAGTACAGCGTGGTCCGGATTCCTTTCGTCCCTGAGCTGTCCCTTACAGCTGCCGCCGTACTGCACCTCAGGGCTGCAAATACGTGGGTTCAATTGAGGCTGCTTTGTCAGAAGCAGAAGCTCAGCCATTATTTCCCATCCCCTGGATGTGATCTACATGAAAACACGACTCCTGAAAGCTAAACTCAGAATTAAACAATTATTAATGATGTAATTAATAACGCCCTGTCAAATATCTTAAGCAAGCTGTGAATATAATCTGTTCTCACTGCAGTAAATATTAAGATTACAGGTTTTTTGATGTACCACCGTGTAATCTGGTACCGGTGTACGAAACTGCGTCCTGAGGCAGAAAACCGTAACCTTATTACGTGGGCTGTAGTCCACATATTGGCACATTGTAATTGAATGGCAAAGGACGATAAGGGACATACCAGGTGTGCGTCACTCCTTCATTAGCGGCAGAAATACGCGGCACATTTCTCTGGACAGAATCTCATAAACATCTGGCCTTATTTATTGATGTGACGTAGCACAGACACGAGCTTCATTAACTGTGACGTCATATTTGCCAAAGGATCGTCGAACAGCTGAATTCCAATTGACAACAGCATTGCTCTTCTTTGGTTCGGGGGACGTGGCCAGCGAGCGGGGATAATAAATAACATGTACGAGAGGTAAACGTTGCGGTGTGGCAAGGGATGCGCCCCCTGAACCCTGAGGAACACAAAGAAGTGTCTTTTCAATTCAGTTAAAGCTCTAACATTCTGCTACGGCTCAACGATATGCACCGTGCAGCCCTTATGAGTCAGGTCACTGAAGAGGGAAGATTCACTGTTCGATTAGAGACCCTACAAGGTCGCGTTTCGCGCGTGCGCGTGTATAGAAAGAGAGAGAGAACGCTTCCAGTCATGCTGTAGCACTGACGCTTGATGTGGCTTCTAGACCAGGAGTCGAAACACTTTTCCTCTTCCGCGTCTGGTTAAAATTGTTAAATAACTCCGCCTGTCAGCTGTTTGTCTGAGATTTATTTTCGGTGAAGACATAAAAATCAATTACATTTAATTAGAACGCTCTTTATATAAAGGTTTTGTGATCTTGTTTCGTTCCCATGGACAAATTAGAGTATTCTATATTTTGTGTATAAAAAATGTTATTGGAGGCTCGTGATGTAGACGCAGTAATATTAATGTTGTAAGATTTGAGGGTTTCACGGTGGTGACTATGAAGAAAGCAGTCTTCTGGGATTTGGCACCGTGTATATGTGGTGTTAACCGACGTTTCGGAGGAAAGTATCGCCTCCATCTGCAGGGTAGAAGGAAAAATATAAGAAATCCGCAAGCGAAGAGACCGTGAGAACCGGTAAAAGCAGACTGATTGCGGATTTCTTATATTTTTCCTTCTACCCTGCAGATGGAGGCGATACGTTCCTCCGAAACTTCGGTTAACACCACGTATAGACGGTGCCAAATCCCAGAAGACTGCTTTCTTAATATTAATGTTAATTCGTATTGAGTCGGTGCCTCATCTTACAAAGTATTGTCTGTTCTATAGGGAATGTAAACGACGTCGTTGTTGGGATTCGATCCCGCGATCTTCCGGCTTGTAAGAGGCTACGTAGATCGCCGTTAAATAAACCGTACACTAATGGTTTCGCGGACCACCGTTAGAAGACCTCTACTGAAGGTACGTAAATTTCTGACACTTTGCACCCGCAAATTGCCCATGACAGTTACTGTGTTTGTGGACCAACCAGAATGTCAGCTGTATGTCCAATTGGAGGGAATTGCATTGGCTCTGTTTAATAATACACAGCATTGTATCAGCTGCAGAAGTGACGTCAGACTTGTCACTAGGAGGATAGCGACAACAGTGCATTTCAGTTACAATTTAATGAACCTGTATCAGGTACATTATCCGACTTTGTTATTAGACAGGGATACAATTGCTACCTTGTCTGTTAAGTGAATGGTTAGGATGCAGTGGGGAGGTTTGGGACAACACAAACACAACCTTAGGCATTAAACCCCTTAGAAGGGTAAGAACTTCAGAGGGAATTCTTTCGCTGCTTCGTAATCTGACGAATACACGTCCATCCAGACACGAGACCATTCAAGTGTTCACCATATCATTTTCATAATCCGCTTCTTGCTTGTTAGTCAATATTCACTCACCTTAAAATTATGGGACAAATTTTTTCTTCACTACAGGCGCCATTATTCTGATGGTATTAGAAAATATGATTCAATTCAATTCTTTATTATTTACGTGCCGAGCCAACAGCCACAAGGCCAGTTACAGACAGAGCACAGGGTAGATACAAGTAATTACACTATGGACAAACACTACATAAAGTCAAAGACAAATTACAAGCAAGCACTGGAAGAAAAACATATTAATGCAGACAAGTAAACAAATAAATAATAATAATTATTATTTTATTAATATAAATCTAAGTTGTTATTAAGAACTGAGAAATGGAACATATAAATATTTAATTGAGAAATTAAAAGTATAATTCAATTCAGTTCATTTCAATTCAATTCATGTTTATTTACGTGCAATAACTTAACAGCACAGTGGCCAATTACAAAGTTAGCACGAGTATATAAAGATACAGAAAAATAATTAAACACAATATAAATATGACAGAAATAAAACAGTGAGCATAAATCTAAAGAAGACTTAAATATATACATACATTTATGAATAATAATAATAATAATTACATTCAATTTTACGCTTTGTTTTTTATTAGTGCGAACGTTAGGTTGTGAGCTAGCACCTGTGCGTGCGCAGAATATGACAATATGCTTATGAATGTGAGTACGAAAGTTGATGAGCGTGAGTGTGTGGAATATATATAGCGTCCGGATGAAAGGTATCCAAAATAAAATAATTATATCTCAGAAAGAGTTTATTGTACACATTTATGTGTTACACCACTACAAAGGGAAACTATCAAAGTTTTTTCTGAGTATATAACTTTCTTAATAAATTAAAACATGGGCTCCCTTGGTGACATGTTACTTGAAGCATGTTTGGTGTTACCATAGCCACAGCACCCCGTATGCGGGCTTTCAGGTGTTGCAGGTCGTTGATCTTAACCTGGTAGACAATGTTCTTCACATAACCCAAAATTCAGTGGGGTTAAATCTGGCGACCTCGGATGCCAAGCGGTTGGTCCACTTCTGCCGATCTATCTCCCAGCCATCTCTCTGTCCAGGTGANCTTTCACCCGGACATCCTGTATATCTTTGTGAGTGTATGAATATGAAAGCTTAATGGTCAGAATGAGTGACTGCACGTGCATGCGGTGTGAATGGGTAAAGTTACTACTGTGAGTGAGAGTCACTCTGTGTGAAAGTGAATGCATGGCGTATGCATCTCTCTGACTCTGTGAATGCAGGGTTCTGCCCTTTATGCGCATGCGCGTGGTGTGTTTACAAAGCTATAGTAACAAACAATGATCCTTTTCATCATAAAATCGAAGTTTTTCGAGTATTTGAACGTCAACCGAAAGCACCAGGGGCTATTGAGTTTATATTTCCATATTAGGTCGATTTGAGGCGAACAGAACAACATAAGCACAAGAGCTCTGCTTCATGGAATTAGGCAATCAATCATTGCATGTTGGCTTATTAACGATCCCTTTCTTTCTATTTATAGCCTCTTCAAATCTACATGCGTTCCCCTTACCGAGCCAGTCTGTCCATATCTGAATCCCCATTGGCTCATACTCCAACATAAACACGGATACAGATATAAATTTTATATTTATGGCCAAATTCCGCTACGAAATTGAGTACAAACCCGTGGCGTGAGCCGACGTACAGTTCTCCGGGCGAGTCTGCAGTGCATGTCGAACCTATTGCCTTCGGTCCGTAGTTACATGTCGGACGTTATCCGTTTGCCTGAGGAAGTCGCATCTGATAAAGGCGCCATTTGTGGCGGTAGATTGTGATTACAATAACATAATTTGTTGATTCTAAAGGCTTCTGACGATGGTGGATGACACACAGAATTACTGGGTTTTTGGAATTTTCCCATCGTCCGGAATTCCAGGTAATAGAGGACACGACGTTTCGGAAACTTCATATGTTTCCGTCTTCAGGTGAGGAAAGGAAGACACCTACTCAGTTGCTTCCTCACGGTGTTGAGGAAAATATCTATTATCTTATTCATCCACAGACGATAGGAGGTTATTAAAAATATCTCAGAAAATAAGGAATTGTGGGGTGAAATGTATTAAGATATATCAATATATGTTCCACCTGTAGGCTTCTGTGAAACTAACATCACGTAAGCAGTAAGCAGAACCTTCTTTGTTGCTGCTTGTTTCGTACCGATTTCTTGCTTGGCTTCTTATTCTACCCTGAGGATGGAAGCAACATATTCTTCTGAAGTCTGTTTACTTTTATGAGACTGTGTGGATTCTTATCCGAGAAGGTAGAACCCTTCAAAATAAAATGTATCTGTTACTAAAATTTCAAGAAATTTTAGCCATGATTCAGCAATTCAGTACGATCTTAAAGGGAGATAAGTTGTGAAACACAGACATAGCGTAAGAGTTCTGTCGTGCCCGTTAATTTGTATTTAATTATCTAAAAAAACGAAAAATATTCGATGGACATAAAACAAGCTGCTCTCTGCTCTAAACTTTCGTCCAAAAATATTTCGCTCCGAAAACTCTTCTTCAAAAGCACACGTCGTCATGCAGTGTCCGTCATTTTCATTCAGTTTCAACCTTTACTGGAATAGTAAAACTCCGTGGCCTTTAGTCTGCGAACGAACTATACCGTCCGAGCGATCGCCGTTTGTCGTCGAAGTTAGTGCCAGCTTTAGTCGATAGAGAGTGTCGCGTGGTGAACGCAACGGATTCCCACGGCCGCTAATCTCGGTTTTCTAGACCGGAGCCGCTACTTTTCCATTTAAGTAGCTCCTCAATTATCCTCATGAGGCTGAGTGGACCCCGTTCACAGACCCACTAATTCTCAGAAAATGTGGTAGCGCCAGGAATCGAACCCGGACCTCTGGATCAGTAGTCAGGAACTCTGACCACTAGACCAGCGATCAGAGTTCATTAAACTCCCAAATTTCATGAAAATTCATCATGATATCTCGCATACGTAATAATAGACTGACAAACACCGCGAAGCTCTTTCCAGGCGCATTTACATTTTTAAGTACTAGACGCCAACCCTTTAGAATTTTACACCTCCAACCCCCTCTTGATATCTACGTCTTTTCTTTTTAGATAAAAGTTATACGGCTTTCACTTTCTGTCTCTCTCTCTCTCACTCTCTCACACACACACACACACGATGTCTCTGTTTTTGTTTTCACGTGGTTTTATGACAGAACATTTTTAAGTTGACGATAAGGGAGGTTTTCTTTACGACTGTGGTTTGCGAGGGTTCATGCTAAGACTTCAGGCCAGTTTACTTTAAAGAGAATGCCCAGGACTCCTCACCGTGCCTGCAACAGCCACCACAGGATTATTGCACAAATGTTTGCCTTATCTCCAGTTTATATACCGTCCACTGCATGCAAGCTAATTTTGTTAGTGGAGATAGCGTCAATATTTATTTCCGTTCTCGTTTTTATTCTTTTTGTACTTAATATACACGTACCTACTGTGCATTGAGTTCTGAGTAACGACCTCGATGTTGTCGTGAATGTGAAAAATATATCGTGTTCATTTTGAATTCTAGTGATATTGTTATATTATTATGGTTCTTATTATGTATGAAGAAGGCCTACCTGAAAGCAGTTTTCACCACTCTAAGTACACAATTTATTTTAATGACAATTTAACAATTCTGTATTTATATACTGTCACGTGTTTCAGAGACTAACGACGGAGTTTGGCTTGGTGAATCGATTTACTGGATATTCACTACAAATAGTTTCTACACTCTCAAGATTACTGTAATTATAACACATAAAGTCTTCAACGTCTGTTAACACTTCACAGCTGAATTATCACAACTACTTTCCCTGACGGCTTCGTGTCCTTGACTCATGGGTTCTCGACTACGGCTGACTTCTCGATTATTCTGGAATTTATCATAATTTTTCGGCACGGACCACATAGAAAATACGCTAGCAACTAGTTGTAGAGAACACAGTTCTCAATGTTGCGTGTTCGCGGGAACGTGTTTAACGAGCAGTTGCCTAGAAACGGGTTGCATAAACCCGTTGTTTTATTTTTGCTTTTTGGACCGTGTTTACGTGGCCGTTGCCTAGCAATGCGTTTAACAAATCCGTTACATTACCAATACGACAAGGCGCATAAATCTTATTGCAAAGTAACCGCGCAAAACAATGATCACTATGTGTGTATCACTTTAGTATCAAGAAATGTTACGTTTTGCACATAGAACCTATGTATGAGGGGGGCATGCGGTAGCGTAGTTTGTTGAGGCACTACGCTACAAGCCGGAAGGTCGCGGGTTCAAGTCCAGATGAGGTCACTGGATTTTTTTCAGTTGACCTAATCCTTCCAGCCGCGCTATGGCCCTGGGGTCGACTCAGCCTCTAACAGAAATGAGTACCATGAATATTCTTGGGGGTAAAGGGCGGCCGACGCGTAGGTCTGACAAACTTACCGCCATCTTCGAGCCGATTGTCTAGAAAATGTGGGAACCTCAACACCTCACAACCCTATGGGCCTTCACGGCCTCTCACAGGGATAGCTTTACTTGCTTACTTACCTATGTATGAGTTTCGTAAGATTTTGAGAATAATCAGCAATGTTTTTCCCTAAGAGGATTAACCGACTGGTTTTTATAATGCAGTTCTGTGTGTTTGCTGTGAGGTAGGAATTTAAGATTCAGATAAATTCATTCTCAAAATGGTTACATGAACACAAAGTCTGTCACAATAATTGTGAATTGCATCACTGATGCTTTGACATATGGCTTTATTGATCATTTCGTAATTCTTCGGTCAACGCCTTTTCTCCTGATCTGTGCTACGTATGTGTTCTGATCTTATACCGTTCTTGATTTAATCACCTTAACAACTGGTATATTACTCGTACATATACTTATACAATAAAGATTAGGGAACTCTATATTATGCAGTNGTGTGTCCTTTATTGCTTGTGTAGTTTTGTGTGCTGTGTCTTGTTTGAGTGTGGTGTTATTCTGTGTGATGTATGTTACTTTTGTAGTATGACTGCCACGTGTAACAACTAATTTGCAATTTAAATAAAATAATAATATTAAAATAATATTTAATTTCATATAAGAATCATTTGGTGAAACAAAATAATAGGAGATTTTAAATAGCAAATTAAGCTTACTACACGGCTGCCCCATAGCTCAAGCGGTTAGTTGCTGGCTTCCCGGGTTCGATCCCGGGTCTGGTCAAGCGGAATTTGAGGTGGACAAAGTTCCGTTGAGGCGGGTTTTCTCCAAGTACTTCGGTTTCCCCTGCCAATCTTCATTCCACCAAATTCTCCATCATCATAATCACCAGGGGCAGGCTACAATAGGCCAATCAGTGGCCGCCGTTCTGAGTGGACCCAGTTGGACTCCACCACCCTCTCCACTAAGCGAATTAAAAAAAGTACTTAAAAATGCTTACTATACTGCCTGGGATTCTGCTGGTATTTTTTTTTCTTGATTCCGGAGTACACACCGCTTCTATTTCGTCATAAATATAATTCATATTTCTTCCTGTTGTTTAGAAACTGTTTCCTTGTCCTTCACAAATTCTGGAAACGTTTACCACAGTTCTTTACATTGATCCTGTGATGACGAGACATCGCCTGTGAGTAATATTTCAGCTGACAAAATTTACAAGAGTTGTAACAGTAACCGAAGTGGACGACGGACGCAATTAGTCTGGTTATCAACAAGAGGGAACAGCGTTCCAGTGAGAATACAGGCTCTCCCTTTATTATCCGTCATAACTTTATAACGAGTTGCCCGTTTTTCATAGAGCTCAGTATGATGATAATGACACTGGGGTCAGCCTGTCGTCATAAATTAAAACGAATGACATCACGGGGATGGGGGTCGATATTTTTCATTGGTGCAAAAATACGGTCACTTAATTCAAGATACAGAAAATATACAAGGTTACTTTAAAATATGTAATTCTTCGAAAAAGTATTATATTCAACGAACTCCGTGTGTAGGGTCTTCCTTGAGAAGCTAGTAGTCGTTCAGCTATTTCATAGGTACTCCCAAAGTTGAGCCAGGAATTTATTTACTGTATTCACAGCAGTTCGCTGGTAGACACTATCCCGTGCTAGAGGAATTCAGCCCACGTACTCCCATCGTGTTCACATCGGGGTCAGTCTTCAACTTATACCAATTTTACGATCTAAGCTTGGGTCTTCCAAGAGGGCTCTCAGCTTCACGTCTTCTCGTATCAGGTCTGTACGTATTTCTCACCCCTCTATTTCACCCCCTGTGCTCCATCTCTCTCAGGCTTTCCCTTTGTTCACCTTAAATGTTGTGTGAGCAGTATGAGACCCGAAGCTCATCAGCATTGAGTTATCTCTCTCTTATACTCACTTACTCACTCATGGAGCTGAGCCCTTCTTGAGGAGCCGCCAATTCTGGAGCTACTCAAGAATTTCCCAGCATTTTGTGGAACCCGAAGGTTCATTACCGTGTTCACAAGAGCTCTCCACTGGTCCCTATCCTGAGCCACATCAATCCAATCCATAACAACCCATCCTATCCCTCTAAGATCCATTTTAATATTGTCAACCCACATACGCCTTGGTCTTCCCAGTTGTTTCTTTCCCTCTGGCTTTTCCACCAATATCCTATATGTATTCCTCTTCGCCCCCATTCGTGCTACATGCCCTGCCCATCTCATCCTCCTTGACTAGATCATTCTAATTATACTTGGAGAAGAGTACAAGTTATGGCTCCTCATTATGCGGTTTTCATTATGTATGTCTATGTAAGGCTGACAACCTTACCGCCATCTGTGAGCCGACTGTCTAGAAAATGTGGGAGCCTCGTGGTCTCACGACCCTATAGGCCTCCACGGCCTACTAAAGGAATACCTTTACTTTTTTTTTACTATCTTAGACTACATATGTTTCAAGTTACATGTTGCACACAGCTCTCAGGCTTTGACGGGGATATTTGGGGCAAGCAAACAAATATTTGGAGTGATGTACACAGTCTGAGAGGCATAAGCACAGATGGCAAGATTATGCTAAAAGTCGCCAAGGACACATAGGATATATTATAATTATCTGGACTTGAATACCTGTCTCAGAATAGTGACGAGTGGGAGGACGGACATTTGTAAATACGATAATAGATTCTGTGGTTCCACAATACAAAAAATTACTTCACCTGATAAGCCACTACCAGCTCCTCAGCAACTGTGTTCCATTAAGCTATATTATCTTCATGATTCTATTTTATATCATTCGAGAAGGCGGGATAGTGGCTAAGCTACAGGCTGGACGACAGAGAAATTGAGGTTCGATACCCAGCAGGGGTAGAAGATATTTCCCTCCTCGAAAGAGCCCAGAGAGGCTCAACCTTACACACAGCCTCCTAGCCCTCCTAGCCCTCCTAGCTGTTTCCTCGGGGGTAAAGCAGCCAGGACGTGAAGGTCTTCATGTAGTGCCGAGGCCAAGAATGGTGGATCTACATTCCAGCTCCCCCATAGGTCATTATCGCATCATGCTTAATTAATTAAGCTCGGAAATAAGATACTGTTCATTTTCATACATTTACGAGCACGTGAATTTGAGTGGTCCATTGCTCTGACCCAACACGGACATCGACATATGTGACCTATTAGTAACGTGCAGCGTTAAGCTGATGAATTACTGATAGAACTCAAATTCATATGCCGTTGAACTAACTGTACCACAGCCCCCCCCCCACTGAGGCGGTTTGCGGTTTTACTATTCCAGCGACTGAACGGGCGATATTAGCTCATCATGGCAATATAAATCAAATATGGCGCAGAACTGGAAGCGCAGATTCTCTCGGATAGAACTTCTCTACACTTTGCCAGTGAATTGACTAGTTGATGGATGGACTCGGGGTTCAGTTCCTTGCAGTGGAGAGAGTTGCCTCTTCTTCGCAGAGGCTGAAGGGCTCACCCAGCCTTCTGTGGGACCTTCTTCCGGAGTTAAAGTGGCCGAGGCGTGAAGCTGGCAGCTTAAATCCGTCTAGTGCCTAGGAGAGGCGTGCATAGCGCTGCATCTCAGGCCCTCAGACGTCTGCACTGCCTTGTGCTTAATTAAACACAGGAACATCTTAGCATTATCGACTGCGAAGTGTAAGGCTGCTAAATATAGCGACTGTAGCTTATGTCCTTCAGGACTCATTTAGAAGATTCGATGATATAAAGAGAAATCTGTAGAGGGATGAAGTGACAGGGGGGTGGAGAAAACTGCATAATGAGGAGCTTCATAACTTGTACTCTTCTCCAAGTATAATTAGAATGATCAAGTCAAGGAGGATGAGGTGGGCAGGGCATGTAGCACGAATGGGGGAAGACGAAAGCATATAGGATATTGTAGGGAAAGCCAGAAGGAAAGAGACCACTGGGAAGACCAAGGCGTAGGTGGGCGGACAATATTAAAATGGATGTTAGAGAGATGGGATGTTATGGATTGAATTGATCTGGCTCAGGATGGGGACCAGTGAAGGGCTGATGTGAACACGGTAATGAACCTTTGGGTTCCATAGAATGTTGGGAGGTTCTTGAGTGGATGCAGAATTAGCGGCTCTTCAAGAAGGGCTCAGCTCCATGAGATAAGAAAGAGAAATCTGTAGCAACTCTTGGCTCTAGCCGCGAGTCAGTAAACGAACATCTGTACATGCAATGTGATTTCTTATTAAACTCGAACAAAGGCAAGTCCATTTTGTGTAACGACTGTTTGTCGTCCATTTCTGTGTGATAGAATGTATTTTTACTTTCTATATTGCAACATAGGCCGATCACACTGGCCGCGTATTCTAAGACATAACTGCCGTCACTCGTTCGAAAGTTGGTATCATGGGTTCGAATCCCATGCAAGACATGGATGTCTGTGTAGTTGTTTGTGTTGTTCTGTATTGGTAGAGGTCTTTGCGACGGGCTGATCCCCCGTCCAAGGAGTCCTATCGACTCTCTATAGAATCAAGAAACTGAAAAAGCAGCCAAGGTCCAACAAAGGGTTGTATAGCCAAAATAATAATAATAATAACAATAATAATGTGGTAACATTGGTAGGACGTCATAGGAAATGACTCAGGTTAGAGTAAACTGATCGAATTTAGTCACATGTAACGAGCTCCCTATTTCTATAAGAGACTGATAATTACTTGGCTGGATGAGCTCAAGGAAAACCCTGTTCCTTAGAGTTACAAAATGGACGGATTTCTGTGAAAATTCTGCGAGACAATAAATTTTAATTTTTAAAATATATTTATGTATGCGTTTTTGTAAGAAGCCTCTGTTGTGTGATGCAGTGCTCACGGGACAAGAAGCAGGGAAGTGCAGCAGACACTTGTTGCAAGAGAACGGCGTGTTGCAGTCTCTGTATTGTTGGGATGTCAGGCAATGGTTCGAGAAGAAAGGGAAACCACCTATGCCGCCATTTGCCGCGGCAGTGCTTGAAATTGGGGTAAGTCCCTCATGCATTAATATTGGCACCATCTCACTCTCTTGTCGTCTGCAGTCATCTCCACACTCCGCGAGGTACAGTGAGCTGTAAGATAGGTATGCCTGCTGCTTTCATTCGGTGTCTTCCAGAGAGGATCCTTCGGATTAGGTTCAAGGAAAATTGGTTTGGGATGGTCACTTCCTAATGTTAATGAGAGCTAGGACATGAGCAGAACTTGAAACAATCTAATATATGTAAACAAAAGTAAATGTAACCCTGTAACAGGCCGTGAAGGCCCATAGGGTTGTGAGATGTTGAGGATCCCACATTTTCTAGATAATCGGCTCATAGATGGCGGTAAGTTTGTCAGCCTTACGCGCCGGCCGCCCTTTACCTCCAAGAATATTCCTGGTACTCATTTCTGTTAGAGGCTGAGTCAACACCAAGGCTATAATGCGGCTGAAAGAATTAGGTTAGTTGGAAAAAATTCCAGTGACCTCATCGGGATTCAAACCCGCAACCTTCCAGCTTGTAGTATAGTGCCTCAAACAATTACGCTACCACGTGCCCCCTGTACAAAATGAAATTAAATATTAGCTTCACTAGCACTAAAATCATAAAGGACTTTGATTCAATTCTCGAACTCCGTCCAAAGCAAGCGTAGGGATTCCGTGACTTAGCAAAAGCCTTTACATTTTGTAATATCTGCTTGCATCAGAAAGCAGCGACTTCAGTCTGGAAATTCATTTTGTGACGACGGGCTTAGCCAACGCTCCCATCCCAATGGCGCATCCTCCAGTGCAACTCCTGAGGCCGTGGGTCGTCCGCCGGAGTTTCCTTTCTTAAAACAGTTGGGACACTTTGAACCTACGATTCATTGACGAAATGCAAATGGAAGGAGCCCCCCAGGGTACTCTGTTCATTGTTTGTATAGCTTACGGTTCTGTATTGGTTGCTATAAAATTACGTGACATGATCCGAGGCAATGACCTGGTGATGTGGCCGTTTTGGCCGGAAATGTCGCAATAAAATGACGTATAAATTACGGTATTACATTTCGATCTGCACCAAAGAGCATTTTAACTTCCTGTCTGATGTCTAAAACGCAAAGCTTGAAACGCATAAAGCTAGAATTTTACCTGTTCTTTCAGCGATTGAGAAGCATGGATTCTCACCTATGGAGTAAGGGTGAAGACTTAGCCGCGCCATAGCTCAAGCGGTTAGTCGCTGGCTTCCCACCGCGGCGGCCCGGGTTCGATCCAGGGTCTGGTCAAATGGGATTTGTGGTGGACAAAGTGGCGCTGGGGCAGGTTTTCTCCGAGTACTTCGGTTTCCCCTGCCAGTCTTCATTCCACCAATTGCTCCACAATCACCCTCGCCTATCATCTGGAGCTGGTACAATAGGCCAGAAGTGGCCGCAGTACAAGGGACTTAGTCCCACCCCACTAGCAATAAAAAAATAGACGATATTCCGGTCCCAGTCTGTATATAAGCCCCGATGTCTCATGAGCTACGTAGGGAGGTAGAAGTAACAGACGAAACGTTGAAAATGTGTAATGGGGAGTTCGATAAGTTTACTAATCACCAGACATTACTAAGATCATCAAGTTAAGGATGATTAGATGAGCAGGATATGTAGCATGCATGGAAGTGTTAAGAAGTGCATGCAAAATATGGGCCGAAAACCCTGAAAAGTAGATATAACTTTGATGGTAGGATAATATTAAAATAAACCCGAAACAAAAGGGTGTGTGATTGTGGACGGGGCTGATTTATCTCAGGATAAGGATCAGAGGCAGGATCTTAACAACCTTCGTGTTATATAGAAGACGGGAAATTGCTTGAGTAGCCTTGAGACTTTGAACCTCTCAGGAAATATACACATGTCTAGTTCGAGTTTCTATCAGACAGTCGGAAGAGAGATCATAGCAAACAGCAAAATTTCCCAGGCATACCAATAACTTGTACTTCGGTCTACAATTATGTATGCAGTCAGAAATTAATCTAAATAATATTTGAAAATTTATTTCATACCTAACATAAAGAATGTTGCGTCTGAATTACAAATTTTAATGCGCTCTCTTTATATAATCATATGATACATATAAGTAGGTTACAGTCTGTGGGAAAAATGTTTTAAAATATTAATACAAATCATATTTGGAAGCATTTTGTTTTTATTTTGTTAGCGTAGTTGGTTGAGGCACTATGCTACAAGCCGGAAGGTCGCGGGATCGAATCCCGATGAACTGGATTTTTCAATTGACCTAATCCTTCCAGCCGCACTATGGCCCTAGAGTCGACTCAGCATCTAAGAGAAATGAGTACCAGGAATCTTCCTGGGGGGGTAAAGGGCGGCCGGCGCGTAAGGCTGACAACCTTACCGCCATCTTTGAGCCGATTGTCTAGATAATGTGGGAACCTCAACGTCTCACAGCCCTATGGGCCTCCATGGCCTGTTACAGGGATACCTTTACTTTACATTCTTTTATTTTACTTTATATTATTCAAATGACGTCTTTTCGTCCCACATGTCCGCCACAGGGAATCAGAAATATGCACAATACATTGCTGTGCAATCCATTCAAGACGCCCTTTATTGTGGAGGATCTTTCAGATAGAATTATGAGTCCGACTTTAACAAACAGAGTTTAATATCAAATAAATAAACATGTCACGCAACGACACTTAGCGTAGAAAATACAATACTACTCTAAACATAAAAGGAAATGTTTCATTTGGGGAGATGAGAAATAAGTGTTTTGAAGAGGGTACAGAATTCGTTTTGGCACTTCCTTTCCAGCTGCAAAATAATTGAGAAAGAAACACCCCACCGACTTTGACTTTCGGTTCCATTACGGCTCAGTTAACAGTCTCAACAACACAGCGGAGTTTGAAAGCGTTTCAGAGAGACAGAGAGAGAGAGAGGTTTGAGTTTCGGTCGGTTTGGCTGACCTGTCAACCTCAGCAGGAGTTCACTATGAGAAGAGCTGGTGTTCCGAACACCGCCTCATGACAATAGCTCACCCTGCCGGAGCTGTTCCCCTCTTGGGTCTGTACGTGAGACCCCCTTGGGGACTCCCTACTGTTCTGATGACCATTAGTGTCACTCCACGGTTATGGTCCCGGGGGGCCTCGCAACTCCTACAGGGTTTGGGGGTCGAGGTGCAGGACTGTCCAATTCCAGCATTATTGATACAAATCTACATCAATATCTGACCCAAAATCTCATAATTTCTTCTTGATTCTTGAGTTATGTAACAGCGTTGTACTAATTACAGTGGCCTCATAGCGTCAAAAGAGGCGTGAGTTTGGGAAGGGGATTTGTAAGGAAGCGGTTGAGGCTAAGTACAAGTACAAAGTAGCTAAGTACAAATATTTTTCAAGAACACGCTGGCTCCATCGTAAGGTTAGAGACAGTAAGTTCTCCTGGAACATGTGTACTCACCTACGAGGCTAACTGGCGTTAAAACCCAGTTGATTACAACATGACTTTATCCTTTGGATTTAGGCATAGGGAGGCAGGGTAGTCCAAACTAAGAGTCTGCGTCCTTACCATCCAGCTAGAGTAGCTGCAGGACCTCTTTCAGTTTCATGTCATCTCTTTAGTAAAAGTAAAAAGTATAGCTATCCCTGTAACAGGCCATGGAGGCCCATTGGGTTGTGAGACGTTGGGGCTCCCACATTTTCTAGACAATCGGCTCAAAGATGGCGGTAAGGTTGTCAGCCTTACGCGCCGGCCGCGCTTTACTCCCCAGGAAAATTTTTAAATTAATTCCTGGTACTCATTTCTGTTAGAGGCTGAGTCAACCCCAGGGCCATAGTGCGGCCGGAAGGATTAGGTCAACTGAAAAAAAAAATTCTAATGACCTCATCGGGATTTGAACCCGCGATCTTCCGACTTGTAGCATAGTGCCTCAAGCAATCTCTTTAGTGGTCTTCCTGAACCATCTTCCCACTAAGAGGGCTAACTATAATCTATAATAATAGAAATATTTATGAAGTTACTGGAGACAAATGGAGTAAATTTACAAGTCGTTAAATTAGAAAAGAGTGGAGCCCTGAAACTGTAGGTTCACCAGGTTCAGAAATATGACGCCAAGTGCTCTCAAGTTAGATTGAAATTACTATGCGCCCAAATTTGAAATATTCAACCCCAAGACGTCTCTATCTATCTATCTATCTATCTATCTATCTATCTATCTATTTTTTAATTCGCATAGTGCGGGGTACACGGAGAAAGCCTACCCCAGCACCACTTTGTTCACCACAAATCCCACTTGAGCAGACCCGGGTTTGAACCCGGGCCGCCGCTGTGGGAAGCCAGCGATTAACCGCTTGAGCTATGGCGCCGCCTCATCTATCTATCTATCTATGTATCTATCTATCTATCTATCTATCTATCTATCTATCTCTGTATCTATCTATCTATCTATCTATCTATCTATCTATCTATCATCGCTCTACGGCCCTTTGTCGGACCTAAGCCATATTTTCAAATTCATAATCTTATACACATTCGGTAGGACTCCTTGGACGGGGGATCATCCCGTCCTAAGGCCGCTACCTACGCACAGAGCAACACAATCACATAATTAACGCACACAGACATTCATGCCGTGAGTGGTCTTTAAACCCACGATCATAGCGTTCCAGCGAACGAAAACAGTTCGTGCCTGAAATCGCGCGGCCACCACGATCGGCTTATAAGACGTCTCTAGTAAATTCAAACTACATGCCCTTAGGTTGGCAACTTGAAACGGAAGTCAGTCATTAGTCTGAATGACCTGAGGGAAGCCAACTTCGAAATCTCTCAACGAAAGACTGGGATCCCCAAGACAAATTCATGATCAGTTCTACTGGAGAGCGCCCTTACAAAACAGTGACTCCTCGTACATTCCAACTAATACGGTACCGGTTGGTGACCCAGACTATTACGTCATCATTAGAAGATTTTTGTATTGCTAGTGGGGTGGGACTAAGTTCCTTGTACTGCAGCCACTTCTGGCCAATTGTACCAG